GGGCTTGCAAGTCTGCCCATTTATTATACTAATCTTCTTTCTTTGCGCGATTCGCACCATTTCGTGGGCAAGTGCTGCAAAACATGTGTGGTTTCGTGTTTTTGGTCACGGACTCGCTGTTCATGTCATTTTGCATCAAGTAGGCCGACGAGAAAATTCCGCATTGTCCGGTTTGTGGGTCTTTCTGAACAAATCCAAATTGTGTCATGTATTTATTTTGTTTTGGGTATATGTTTATTCCAGCAAACAGCAACAACAATGTCCCTGTCCACCCTGCTCTCGAACTCAACAATATAATTCCACTAAAACACTTTTCGACAACAATTTTGCTGGAATGAATCGCCCCATGTCCGACAATTCTCCAAGACGGAAGTGAATGCCGCGCTCTCATCGTTAAAACCAGCAGAATTTCCAACGATTGCTGTGACACCCGGCTTCCCGTGACAGTGGTAAAATCGTTGGCACTGTTTTTGGACATGCCCGAAATCCGAAACTGGGTGGTGAAATTGCAAAAGAACGGAGACCCCCAGCCGGGAAATCATTTCGTCTCGTTCGTGTCGTGCGTGCAGGCAAAGCGAAGTTGCATGGGGGCGGGCAAAAAGAATGAACCTGCCGTTGCTAAGGCACACTCAGGACAAATGTTTCTCCTCCGTCCATCCGCCCGGCGGTGGCTTGAGTGACGTCCCGCGAAATCCCATGCTGTCCGCTGTTGCTGGGGCAAAATCACAACACCGGCTTCGTCCGTCCGGCGAAGGCTTGAACGGTGTCCCACGGTGTCCCGTGGTGTCTTGCATTGTCCCGTGGTGTCCCGTTCAATGATATTGATAGTGAGATCGGTACTGAAATTGATGTGGTGCCCCAAGGTGTCCCGTGGAGTCCCGATAACGAGATCGACAAGTGTTCCCCCGGTGTCCCGCGTTGTCCCGTGGTGTCTCGTTGAAAGAGATCAATAATGAGATCGATACTGAAATCGTGGCCCGTGGTGTCCCAAAAATTGAGATCGGTAATGAGATCGACAGGTGTCGCGTGGTGTCCCGTTGAATGAGATCGATAATGAGATCGATACTGAAATCGATCGTGAAATCGATGTGGTGTCTTGAGGTGTCCCGTAGTGGTGTTCCGTTGAATGAGATCGATAATGAGATCGTTAATGAGACCGGTGGAGACATCGAGAAGTGTCCCGCGAGGTCCCGTTGTGTCCCGTGATGTCCCGTTGGTTGAGATCGATAGTGAGATCGATAATGAGATCGACAAGTGTCCCGTGGTGTCCCGCGGTGTCCCGTTGAGTGAGATCGATAGTGAGATCGATTGAGTCAGACGTTGGTTCCCCCCCTCGCCATCCCCCAAAACCTCCGTATCACCCGAAGGGTGGTCGTATAGGTAGACCGCGGTGTTTTTCTCGCGCCTACGTTTTGGAAATATTTTGAGACTCGTTCAACTTTATCTTTGACCGTTTTCTACAGGTTGGTCAAGCATATTTCCAAGTATTCGGTGTCGTGTGTTGTTGCTTCCAATGCCGCAACTCGGGTGCTAACCCAAAGGCCACGTTTTCCCTTAAGCGCTTCATCTCGTACCCGACGTCCCGAACAACACGCATCGTCAGAACCAAATGCTTGTGAAACGTCTTCCGTATGTATTTCGTTGTGACTGGTTCGTCGACATCGTCTTCGCCCTCTTCATCGGATACAGATTGAGCTTCAACGGATGCAGCTGCGGCAAGTCCCAACTGAGGAAAAGGAACCAGTATCGGAAGTTGTGCGAGTGGTGCGTCGTCGTCTACCTCATGCAACAGGCTGTGCATGCGAGCCTCATTCTCCGGCTTCTCGGGCGTTCCCATGTAGTGATTCTCTGCCAGCATTCCTGCCCAGAACGGTGCGGTGGCGCGAGAAAACAGACAATATTGGATAGCAGGCACAATTTAAGAGGTCGGAAGTCTGTTGAGCGGAGGTATGCTTGAACGGAAATAGGCTTGAACCACTACTCTTGATCCAACCGAACACCTGTTGTCGGAGAAATATTGTACGGCAAAATGCTCGGTCAATCAAACCTTTTCGAAAATGATGCGTCCAAGCATGCAAACATGTATGCCCGATGCCTGAAATAATCCGCTCCAAATTCCCCATCAAACACACACACACAGATAAATACTACCATGATGCCGAACATGCGTATCATCGTCATGCTATCGGAGAGATTTGTCCGAATTCGACCCCGATGATATCCTGGAATGAAATGTCTCCGAAATCCTGGAGCCTGATGCGGGCCCAAGGTCGGAATTGGAATTGGAAACAAATGCCATCTTACAATCGGATGCCGCCTTAGAATCAGAATTGGATCAACAACTTATGCTCGGGCCAGGAGCAATCAAAAGCTCAAATTTGGAGTTAGACCTGCGTTCCGGCAGTCCCTTGGTGTCGAATGCCGTCCTGGCCGGAAGTATCGCCCTGGACAGACACGTCGATTCAATGCTGGAGTCATTACACCATTGGTTCGATTCAACATTTTGTCAAAATCGGTGCATCGTCAGAATCGGGAAATGATCGGAATTGCGATTTGATTCGAATCCATTGTTTCAATACGAAATCCGAAACTGCAAATGCCGAAATCAATTTGGGTGGATACCGGAACTGGCCATGGCAAATACCGAAACCGAAACCAGCTTCGAGGCTTCGATGAATGCCGAAACCGACCTGGGTGGACATATCTGAAAACTTCGGCGGATTTCAAAACTCATGCTGGAATGCAGACCAATGTGGTTGGATGCCGAATCCAAGTCTGCGCAATTGCGGAATCAACCCATGTGAAAACCGAAACTGGCCTTGGTGGATAACGACACCATTAATGGTGGGTGTCGAAACTGATTTTGATAGACACCGACTCGGAACCGACTTTGGTGGACCTTGAACTTGACTTCAATACCCAGACTTTCGAGGATACCGACATCGACTTCGGTGGATATCGAAATCGACTTGGGTGGATACTAACATCGATTTCGGTGGATACCGAAACCGACCTCGGTTACTAATCTGGTGCACGGCTACCGTGCCAACACCAAACCTGGTGTCCTCCCACTTGCCGCTAAACCTGCATCACCGCTGCTTGGAGCAACCCACCGGGGAGGCCGCCTAAGCATTGCGAACTTACCGAATCAGTGGTCAGACATTGACGTGGTAGCGCCTTCATACTGAAATTCCTCCCGCTTCCCCCGGGGGGTGTCTGGAACGACAAAACTGTTGACGTTGCGGCCGCATTTGATGGCAGGCGGGGCCGCAATCTTGTTGGCAGGAGGAAAGGGGAATTGTCGCAGCGTTGCGTGGGTGCCTCGTGGGGATTCGGGGGAGCTTTTGGAAGTTTTAAAGCCTCTTGGGGGCCTCGTCGGGGCTCTCAAGACCCCAAGGGACCCCAAGGTGCTTCCAAAAGGCCCCACAGGTGCCCCCAAGAGGCCCTAAGAGAAGACTGCTCTCCGGCTTAGAAGAACTCAGGTGTCTTCACATTTTCGGTCACTCGACGATCTAAGACATCCCAAGAAGCGCCCGGGATTGCCGCAAGACGGCCAGGCGGCCCTGAAGATGCCCCAGACTCCTCCCCCTCCTCCCCCTCCTCCTCCCTCTCCTCCTCCCCCTCCCCCCCTCCTCCTGCTCCTGCTCCTGCTCGTGCTCCTGCTCCTCCTCCTCCTCCTCCTCCTCCTCCTCGTCCTCCTCCTCCTCCTCCTCCTCTGGCCCAGGAATGGACGGGCGCTAGATGCTTGGGGGGGCGCTCTCGCGGGGCGGCCGCGCTCCTCCCACGTCGGCCCCGAGAAGTTCGCCACCCTGCAGATTCATTGGGAAGGGAGGTCCTCTGGGCACAGAGGGAAGGAGTGGTACACGTCGTCCATTTCCAACCCTGCTCATTTCTAGTTGTGCTCGTTTCCAATTGTTCCGGGCCCCCTAGTGGCCAGGAAGAGGCCCAGGATAGAACAATTAGAAATGAAAGGATATTGCCCCCCCAAAAAAATCAAAGAACTTTCGAAACATTAGGAATGAACAATGTGTCAGGCCAGGGAGGGTCAGACATCCGACGTCTCGACTTGTGTGAGACGCGGGCCCCCGCCCTCCCGACCACTTCCCCGGGACCGGTTTCTCATCCCGAGTCGTCCCTTGACGGCCCCGACGCCCAGCGAGTGCCCCGAGATGCCGAGAACGACGACAAACCTCCGTCTCGATTTCGTCGAAACGCTCAGTGTCTGGGCTCGGGGCGTCTCTCTCTCTCTCTCTCTGTCTCCGCCGGCCGCAGCTCCCGGCGCTGCCCGCCTTTCTCTCGGCCGTCCGCGCGGGGCGGCCGCCTGCTCCTCGCCTAAGGGTGGGCCGCAGGTTACGGCCCGGGGAGGCCCCGAAGCCTCCGGCGAGCGGGGCGAGTGGAGAGGGATAGAGGCCTCCTAGGTGGGGTCGGAGGATCTCGCCGCATCGCCGATGCACCGGCGGTGCATCGCCGACGCATCGGCCATGCACTGGCGACGTCGGCGATGCACCGGCGACGTCGGCGTGGAGAAAATCGTGCCCCACACCGAGCCGCATCGCCGGTGCATCGACGGGTCGTCGCCGATGCATCGGCGGCGCGGCGCGATCCTCGGACCCCGTCTGCTCCGACTTGAAGAGGAGCAGGGCCCCGAGATCGGGGCGTCGCATTTCGTGCCACCGCTGGGCGTCAGCGCCGGGGTCTCGGGCCCCGGGGCCCCCTGGGAGATCGACCTGCCTCGAGGAGTGCCGCAGAGAGATGGCGCCCCGGGCTCGGGCCGTAACGTCTTACGGTGTCACATGCTCTTTTCGCGACGTCGAATCTCGGGGGAGGAGGGCGCGAGAGAGCAGGATCGAGGCCCGAGGAGGAGGAGGAGGAGGAGGAGGAGGAGGAGGATGCGGGGGAGGAGGAGGAGGAGGAGGAGGAGGAGGAGGAGGAGGAGGAGGAGGAGGAGGAGGAGGAGGAGGAGCAGGAGCAGGAGCAGGAGCAGATCCGTAGCCATTTGGCTTAAGGCTCGGCCAGCAGATTTTCAGTTGCGTTTATCGCTGTCTGAATAACCCTTCCACAGTTCGGTAAGGATGCAGTTTCCTGATCAATGTTCGGATGTGCATACCCTTGTCACCTTCCTGCATCGGGCTACGTTGCTCCGCCTCGCGAAGGCAAGTGGAGGCCACATCCAAGGTTGCTCGTTCGGGGCCAAGCAGTGTGCGATGACGCCCCACTGGAGGAGGCGATGCCGCGAGTTGGACACCGTGGCAGGATGGGCAAGGAAAATATCACCCGAGAAAGTTCAGAACTTCCTCACCGAGCTCGACGCGGAGCTAGCAGGCCAGAGGGCCTGCACAGAGACGTCGGAGGACGCTGCCAATCACAACTTCCTGGCATCTGGAAGGTACGTCGACATTGGCACGCAGACCCAGGACGGAAGCGTCCACAGCAGCGGCCTCGAGCAGGAGTGCCAGACAGACCTGAAGCTCCACCACTTTGCTCAGGCCGCCAAGCAGAGCTCCATCTCTGATGACGAAGTTGCCGACTACGAGACAGAGTTCTTCCCGCACCTCGTCGTGCACATTTCGCCTGATGAGCAGGCTACGGATCCCGATAAGCATCAGGGCGGTCACATTGCCGACGAGGTCAAGCTCTTCGACTGCCGCGCCGACAGCAGCTCTGAGGTCAACACCTTCGAGGTCAGCCACACTGACTGCGACACGGAGGGGGCCCTTGACTGCTACGACGACGGCAGCGCGGGCAAGAGCACCGAGAAGGCCTCGGATTGGGGCATTGACAGTTGGGCCTCTGACGAGGAGGCGAAGGACACTTCTGCGCCAACTGATTCATGCTCGCTCATGCTGGACGTCCCAGATGTAGGCCTCCGCAGTCTCCATTGTATTTTCGCCAAGCCGATTCCGATGGCTCGATTGCCCACCGTCACGAGCTACTGCCCTTTGTGTGGAATCGGAATCAAGCAGCAAAGGAGGCTGTACAGAGATCGGCCTCATCTATGTGTGGACTGCAGCAGCAAGAGTGTTTAGCAGGCCCCGTTCCTGCTATAGCTCCACACCCATTGCCCTTCATCCATCTCTGAGCAGATTGCATGTGCAAATCTCTCGTTGGAGGAATGGGGGAAGGGGGAATTATGGGAGATGGGATCCGGGAGGCTTCGCTCGCCAGATAGAGGTCAGACGGCCTCGCGCGTGACCTTCCTGCTCTCTGAATGTTCTCCCCCACCCATCGTCCTCCATCCTGCTAGCCGCGCGAGTAGGCTTTTGGAGTGGGTGGACTGGGGCGGGAAAAGGGGGGGGGCACTCGTTACGACGATGCTGTCGCCTTTGCGCAGCATCCTACATATCTGCCCTGCCCGAGGCGTCCTCGGGGCGTCCCAAGTTGAGCGGGCTCTGGGCCTCATCCCCCTTCTCCTCCCCAGAAGCAGAATGCCAGAACAGGCTTGTTTTCCACAGCCTGCCCAGTTCTCGAGGG